ACTTAATTTTTTTTATGTAAATAACAGTACTTTAATTTGTCTATTGATAGCGAGTCCTTCGAATTTGTTAGATAAGTTTAGACTGACCAACACTCGGTCACGTCGTGCAGTGAACAAGCAGTGAATGGCCGAAAGTGCTATAGTATGCCGAAAGAAGACAGCACGTAGCAGTGTTCAAACTCGTGTAGCCCATTAGAAGCACTTGATATTTCTATACAAATCAGAACTAGTTTGATTCAAGAATCAGCAGTAATTTCCTCGAAAGTTTTGAAAAATTTTGGCTGCCAGGCATTTTAGTTTATAGACCTTTATAAGATCGTGCCGGGCTGTCGTGCATACGCTAGGACATTTTAACTTAATGTGAAGGCTTTATTAGCTTTTTTTCTGCTATATTTCTCAATTATATTCCTGTAGCCATTCTTCTTCCGCTCAAGGCTCTTCGCCGTATAAACACGCTTGATTTTCGACGTCTGAAGATCATTAAAATCTTGAACGCTGTGTTACTTCTTGAAAACTTCGATCGTGTGTTCTTGCTGTGACGTCAGAGCCTTCTGAGGTACCAGACCTCTTGCGCRCCCGGCCAAATCGTTTGGGCGTGTCCGAAAGRCCGACTTTGAAGCGCTWTATCTCAAAGAATATTTATCCAATCGAAAAAATATTTTGGATTGTTAACCTACTATATAAAAGCAATCAAAATATCCAATAACCCCCGAAGGGTTTATAGGGACTTTAAAATAGTTTTACCTACTTTTTAATGATCATGTGTTAAGATTTATCTTTATCATTAATCATGAAATGATGATTATAACAGATGATGGTGATTTTAATTACATGGAATTTCCCAATGGACGTATCAAGAAAGCAGACACCATAAACACTGCCTCCACCAGCTGTATCATTGTAACCCTAAAAACAACAAATATATAGCAAATTAAACAACAAAACAAGCAATAGGCTTTTTGCAAGAAACATAGTACATGGTACTACATCCGCCATATTGGATGCATAATACCCACTGAGATGTTTAAAACAAGGAAAAGTCAACTTTGACGGGCTACGTTCCTTTTCTTTTTGAGGTTGTTTGCATTATTTTGCTATCCAAGATGGTGGATCTAGTACCATGTGAAAGTTTCATACAAAAGGCCTATCCCTCTCCTCTCCTCAAACATTCTATAACTTAGATTAATTCATATTAAATTAGCAAAATAATAAACCTTTTCTGCAATGGCAAGGAGATAGGCTGCCTCTGAGTCTGTACAGTCACCGTCCCTAAAACTGTACATTCTAGTTCCTGTAGACAAATGGTGAAGGTTAGATGATATGCCAGGTTATAGGAGAATTCATTCAAGCAAGCAGCTTTTTACCTTTTGTTGTGATGGCACAAATTTCTCTTTTTACTACTTGATCATATTTTGAATTTGTTCTCTCTGTAACATTAATACATCCAATTAATAATGACATTGGTTAAAGTCAT